CGATCACCTCCGCTCGCTTCTCACCATCATCGCCGCTCGAAATGCTAAAGCAGGGCGTGCCCCTATACTGCATCTTGGGTGATCCGCCAGAGGATCGCCGCTTGGCCGCATTAAATTCGGCCGGATCGCGCCAATCCACCATGTCCTCGGTGCCCAGGGCGAAGCCTTCGGACTCGAAGGGCTGCACGTACTGCACCTCGCTCTCGGGGCATTCCATATCGCTGTCGTGGCTGCGCTTCAAGCTGTTTCGCCGCGACTCGCAGTTCTTCAAATAGTCCGTGATCTGCTTTACATCTGGCGCGATTACTGGAGCAGCCGACTCCTCGAAGCTAATCTTGTCGAAGTTAATGGTGCTCTGGGCTTCTTCGCTTATAGTCGGGCCATCTGATCGTCGTGGAGCAGATGTTGTGGCTTCTGTTGGACTCTGTGTATTGGGCACAAAGGGTGATTGGCTACCGGCTCGGGGCGAACCCATGGATACCCTGAGAGGCGTCTTCTTGCCACCCACCGAAAGCTTGGGTGTTTTCGGCGATCGATCAAAGTTCAGCTTGGTGGCTTGAGTTCTAATCGGCGGCTTCTTCTTCTGCGTACTTGGTGGTTCCTGCTGCTCCTGCTCCTCCTGCTTTTGAGCATCCTCGTACTCGATGCCCAGGGTTTCGCATGTGATGCGCATCACCCGCTGCCTAATCACGGCCAGCGGTGTGTCCGGTTTGATTTTTTGTGTTGGCAGGCGCCAGCGCCGCTCGAAATCATCCGCCATCCGCTGCTGGAACTCTGGAGTGAGACAGAACTCAGGAATCCCCGGGGCTGGCCGTGGATGCTTGCGACTGATGGGCGTGCAGGCCTGCCGACGAATACGCTCCAGTTCCGGTGTTTGGTTCTCCTGCATCTCGCGGATGATCTCGCGCACACAATCCTTGCCCTCATCCGTGTCCAGGCGCTGGACGAACTGCTCTAGGAAGTCCAGGTTGTACTTCTGGGCACCCACCTGGCTGAGTGGCGTGCAAGGCGAATCGGGAGACGATGTGGAGCTGTTGCTGCGATGCCGAGCGCTGCCCCCCGGAACTCCGGCCAGCTCCGAGACCCTTCTGTTGCGCAAAGGCGTTAGATCTGGGGCTGCAGCCTGGGGATTGGCTGCGGCAACAGGTGTGACAGCCGCCGCCGGTTGATTTTCCTCCTCCTCCATGGTGACATCTGGGGGCGCCACGAGTGTACTCTCCGTCTGTCGCCTTGGCGTTCGGGTATTGCTCTCCCGCAAACGCGGAGAAATGGGGAAATCCTCCGGACTCTTGCCCACCAAGTGGCCCACGTAGGGCAGCTTTTGGCCCGTCCGGGCGCACTGCACGAGCCACTCGGATGTGACCACGGGGTAGTTCCATTTGATGGCTCCCTCGTACTTGGAGCCCTCGGCATTGGGACACACTAGCAGAGGTTTCTCCTTCTTGATGAAAGTCTTATTAACAGATGCGCCCAGAAGCTCCGCTGCTGCATTAATGAAATCCCGCTCTAATCCTGCATAGATCGAGACCACAATGGTCATTCCCTTAAGCGGCTGACGCAGTGCAGTGGCTGGAATGGGCTTGTGGTAGTATTCCAGGGGCAGCAGTTGATTCTTCTTCATGCAGCTCTCGAGATACAGCTCAGTGACCACCTCACGAGCCTTGACGGGCAGCTCCTTGACATCGAAGGCCACCTCAAAGCTGACAATGGCGAAGTCAACCTCATCCGCAAAGTTCGAGGGCACCAACAGACCCTGGGCAGTCTCACATTCGGTCAGCATTTGGTTGAAGAACTCCGCATTGAAGCACTCCTTGTGGACATATACGGAGTGGCCCGAAAAGTAGTCCAGTTTATCGAAATCAATGGACAATGTGCTGACACTGAGATCGGGCAATGGTAGAGCAGCAGCGGCGGCTGGATTGGGATGGGTCGCCATCGAGTTCCTCACGCGTATCTCCATTTGCGTGGAACTGGCCGCTGGCTGGAGGAGACTGACATCCGCCGGCGGCAGCTGCGCCACTGCCCCTTGATCCTGTGAGTACTGATCCAGCAGCGTGTGGTCCGGCTCCTCCTGTTCCGGCTGCTGTACGGGATCTGGTTCCTGATCGAAGAGCTTCTTTTTGATGGGCAACGTCGGCTGCTTGAAGCTGTGGTTCATGGAGCGCAGGGTTCGCTTACTGGCTGGCGAGGCCACGTCGGGCTCACGATTCTGTGGCAACGACACACGATGCACTAGCTCACTGACCAGGCGACCAGCTCGAATGCTCTCCAGCAACCAGTCCAGGCGCACCACATGAACCGAACCCATGAGCCCGTCGCGCTGCCACTGCCGATACTCGGCGTCATCCAGTTGGCCAACAATGATGTGGGAGATACCCTCGTTGGCCTCATCGTAACGGGTGGCTCCACCCGTATTCAACACTCTGTTGAGCTTCTCCCGCTCCTCCGAGCGGAAGCCACTCAAGTACACACAGCAGCCGTCCAGAAAGGCGCCCGCCTTCTTCGCCTGCCGCGGACAAATCTCGGCCAGCACCTGCTGATAGTTCCTGCCACTGCTTGTGGTGGTGGCCTGCTTGAGCAGATCCTTGGCGGGCGAGCTGCTGCCCACACTGCTGACGGATTCGTTGACGGTGGTCAGATCGCTGCACATGCGCCGTGAGTTGGACACAAAGCTGATCCGTGAGAGATCCGAGAGTTGAGTCTGATCCGCACCGGGAGCCGCAGCCGAACGATGGATCTTGGTAGGTGTGGAGGACGTCTTGCCTGCTCGTACTTCGTAATCCTTGGTGGGCAGAGCATAGCCGCGATTGGAACTATCGAAGATCCATTCCGGCAGCAGGACATCCTTCTTGTAGCGTATGGCCGCCTTGTACTTCTCGGTGTCCGTTTTCGACTGCTCGGTAATGACGATGTCCACCACCTGGGAGCGAAAGGCGCGATGATAGATGCCGCCATTCTCGTTGACCAGCCGCATCACCTGATCCTTGCGCGCCACATCCAGGCCGCTGCAGGTGATGTTGGCCCCAAAGAAGATGGGCAGCCGGTACTTGTCGAAATCGGGATCCGTGGCACTGATGCCCTCGCGCTGGCTGCGTCGACTCTGGTCCCAGACGTACTGCACCCAGTCGACGTGCATCACGGGCACCCCGTTCAGCGTGGCCTGTTCGTACTTGCTGGACTTGATGGTGTTCGAGATGAGGTGGGTGGTGCGATGGCCGAAGCTCTGGAAGTACGTGCCGCCCATCCAGTGGATGAGTCTGCTAAGTTCCTCCTTCTTCTGGGGCGTTATGCCAGTGGCCGAGACCTGTAGATCCCGCATGGCAGTGGTATAGATGGCCTTGCTGCCATCGGGAATGGGTTCATTGCGCCGCAAGCAGGTTATCAGGCAGGGTGGCCCCAAGATCAGGGCCCGCGTCTGCTGCAGCTGCTCGAAGAAATCGCCCTCGAATTGGGCAAGCACGAAGACATCCTTTTTGGTCAAGTTGCCGCCTGCTATCAGGGGATAGCCCTCGCTGGGCTTTATCTGCCGTATCTGGGTCTCGGCCAGCTGCTGGCCCAGCAGTTCCAGCGACGCCTCAAACTGCTCCAGAGTCTCCGCCTCCTGGATGGCCCCTGACCCTCCGCCGTCGCCAGCCGGCTTCAGGTTGTTCACGAAGTACGCGCAGATGGACTCGTCCATGCTCATGCTCATGGTGGCGTGTGTGCGTGCGATTTGCTCCGTGATTTACTGCGAATTGCCGTGTTTTCGCTTTTCTAAATTGCGTACGCTATTTTGGCGCCGTTTGTTGTTGCTTTGAATTCGTTGGCAACGCTGGCGTCCAGTTCGTTGGCAACGCAGGCCTGGAGCTGTCTGGCAACACCGGCTGCGAGTGGATTGTACCTGGGTACCTTTTGGGTACTTGTTTTTTATATTTAAATTTATTTATAAAAAGGTATTGAAAATAATAAGTTGCATCTTAAATACACTTTTATCGATTTATTTTATTTTAAAGCCAATATATAACTACTTTTTACTGATAAAAAATATATTTGCGCGAGAATCCACAAACTTTTCTTGAATTGAGTAAATAATAAAGCTGGCATGTGTTCTCAAAAATTTGACTAAATTTTAGAGTTTTTAGTCGTAATTCAGCCAAATTAAGGCGTACAGCTATAAGACCGACTGTTTTGAGCAGCTTGCTAAATATGCTAACGATCCTAATCACTTTTATGAAAATTAATTTTTTGACAGATTTTCGCATATTTTGTAAGGGGGTGCATCGTATTTTTTGCGAAAAATGGCAAAAATGAAAAATTTTTAGGCTTGAATGCCAATGGATTGGAAATTAAGCAACGAGCTCAACGAGGTATGACATTCCTCATTCTGACTTATATTTTTTTTATGGCAGCCAAAAAACTGAATTTTTATGGCGAAAAAAGTGTTCCGATTTTCGTCAAAAATACAAGTTTCAGTTTTTTGTCAAAAATGCGACATTTTTATTCGGTTTTTCCTTCGTAGTTCAGCCAAATTAGGGCGTACAGCTAAAAGATTGACTGTTTTGAGCAGCTTGCTAAATATGCTAACGATCCTCATCATTTTTAGGAAAATTTATTTTTTGACCAATTTTTGCATTTTTTGTAAGGGGGTGCATCGTATTTTTTGAGAAAAATGGCAAAAATGAAAAATTTTTAGGTTTGAATGCCAATGGATTGCAAATTAAGCAACGAGCTCAACGAGGTATGACATTCCTCATTCTGACTTATATTTTTGTTATGGCAGCCAAAAAACGCAATTTTTATGGCGAAAAAAGTTTTCCGATTTTCGTCAAAAATACAAGTTTCAGATTTTTGTCAAAAATGCGACGTTTAAAAAACATTTTTTAACTTGGAAACAAAAAAATTAACTAATTTTAAATTATTTTTTAAAGTAAATGTATCATAACTGATTTTTTCAGACTTCAAGACATCGATAATTGTCAGACGGAATCGCCGACGAAAACTCACTATCGATAGACCCGATAGCATTTACCATCGATGGCTTGGCAGCTCCAAAAGAAAGGAAGAAAATAGAGGGACAGAAGAGAAAGGAAAATAGAATAATAAACCAGAGCAGAGAAAACCAGAGCCAGGAGCTACATCGGATAGGATCGGATATCGGGACGAAGCGATACCCCTACCAAATGGGCAACTTTGTGAGCAGGCAGAACGCGGCGGTCGAGGAGGCGGACCCCAGTACGAACAATGCCTACAAGTACCCACCGCGGATGGGCAACTTCTTTGGCACCCACTTCATCATGGGCGGCGAGCGCTTTGACACGCCCCAACCGGAATCGTACTTGTTTGGCGAGAATGCGGATCTCAACTTCCTGGGCAATCGGCCCACGGCCTTCCCGTATCCCCCACCGCAGGCCAACGAACCGACAAAGACCCTGAAGAGTCTGGTCAACATTCGCAAGGAGTCGGTGCGTTTTGTGAAGACTCTGAACGACAAGAAGATGGGCGGTGTTGTTCCGGACAAGCCCAAGCCCATGAAGGAGATCGATCGGGATCTGGATCTGGACAAGGAGAAGTCCAACGTGACCATCGAGGATGTGGACGGCAATGTACTCTGCTCGATGGGCTTGGGTGGTGGGGATGTTGATTTGACGCCACCACCGCCACCCTGCTCCTACAACATCGAGTTCACCTTTGACTCGGACGCCAAGTGCGCCATTACCATCTACTACTTCTGTTCGGAGGACGTCAGTCCCAGCGGCGTGACGCTGGTGCCCCGCGAGGGCCTCACCTCGGAGACCTACCACTACGAGAAGGGCATCAATCAGTGCTTCTCGCAGCCGGGCCACGTCTTCAATCCGCAGCAGATGCCCGAGGATGAGCTGGGCTACAGCCCCGGACGGGAGCAGTATCCGGTGGCCATTCACTGTGTGGTAGAGGAGGGCAGCGACGAGTGCCGTCAGTCGCACACCACCATCTGTGTGATCGACCATCATCCGGAGAATGGCAGCTATGTGCTGCGAGCCCTTAAACAGAAGATCTTCGTGGATGGCCTGTGCTACCTGCTGCAGGAGATCTACGGCATCGAGAACAAGGCGGTGAATAAGACGTCCCTGGATGAGGAGATCGATGATCATGGCAGCGAGTGCGTCATCTGTATGAGTGAGACCAGGGATACACTGATTCTGCCCTGCCGCCATCTCTGTTTGTGCAATTCGTGTGCAGATTCGCTGCGCTACCAGGCCAACAACTGCCCCATTTGCCGAGCCCCGTTTCGGGCGTTGCTTCAGATCCGAGCTGTCCAGAAGGGGATTAGCACGCATGTGCTGCACCAGAATACGCCCACATCGACAGCAGGAGAGCCGGCGCCGGTGGACGTGCCGCCGGGCTATATTCCAGTCTCACTGATCGAGGCACTCAACGGACCGCCACAGTATGTGGCCAGGGCCAGGTGAGTTCTTGGGCTTGCTTGCGTTAGATTGGTTACTAACCGCTTACTCCCTTTTAGAACCAGCGAGCACGACATCACAGACTCCGCCGCCACAGTGGCAGCTTCGACAATGACCAGTGCCGACATCAAGGCCACATCGCCCATCAAGTCCAGCAGCCAGCGAAGGCCAAAGATCAAGAAGAACGCCTCGACATGCACGTCGACCAGTGAGGTGGGCACCATTACCAACCAATCTGGCGGCGGCAACGGCAACGGCAATGGCAACGGCTCATCCACACATTCCGTGGAGATCGAAAGCGATCCGAAGAAGTCCAGTACGGCCACCTGTACTTCGCCCACTTTGGGGGCATCCACTTCACCCGAGCCGAAGCAGGACAAGCTGCAGATCGTCAACGAACGCAAGTATCCCAGATCCACGGCTGGATCCGGTGGCGATGGTTCTGCGGGCACCGATGACGATGAGGACAGTGAGAACGAGAAGCTATCGCCGCTGCTATCGCCGGGCAGCAAGAGCAAGAACGTGTCAAGTAAATCTCTGAAGCAGGTTGTGGCCTGCCTGGAGGCAGACGATGTGGAAAAGAGCGGCGGTGCCGGTGGTGATGGGTCCACCGAGGAGTCTAGCCTTAAAAAGGGCTCATCGCTGAAGCGCACCAAACCGAGGCCAGAACTTAGCGGAGGTAACACACCTTCGCCCACTGAGGCCACGGCCGAGGATTCGGATTACTACACACCGGAAGATACTCAGAACTCGATATTGAGCCCCCTCTGTCCCACGGAACGGGCCAAGAGCGGTGATCCCCTGGGAGCCAGCAACTGCGTCAATGGCAGTCTGGGCGTGGGTAGGAGTGCGGGATCCGTAGGCGGACCAGCTGGAGTGGGACCCGTCGTCGTGGGCTTCAGCAGTGCGGTGAAGAAGAACCTGCACAAAAAGTCCACCTCGGTGGGCAACATGGTGGGATCGGGCTCGGTGGCTACGGTTGTGGACTTGAAGTCCAATAACGTTAGCTCCCTTCCAGGTATGTTGAGATTCTGTTTAATGATTTTGATTTACTTGATTTGAGACAAACATATCTTCTCCACGCAGACATGTTGGACAGCCCGATCAGCGGAAACTCGGCCTCGACGCGCAGCTCCAGCGATAGCTACTCTTCCAGCTCGTCCACCAAGCAGCTGCTGAGTTCCAATCCAACCACCACGGCCGCCAACATCATCGTGGATGATAAGACGGCTCTGCAGAATGCCGTCAACGTTTAGAGCCGGTTCCAGCTGTATTTCGCGGAATTTTTGCGTTTCGTTTGATCGTTTTAGCCTTGCGTTTACTCTATTTATTCGTAGTCAACTAGACTTAGTTAAATCAATGCTGCTTCCCCGCCCGCAAGAACAAACATTGAAGATTATGACGAGGATGGCCAGAAGGATTAACAGAAGGAAAACCAGGGGGATAACCAGGAGGATACTAGATACTAGATGGATATCCAGGAAAATGATGAGAAGGCGGCGGCGGAGAAGGGTTATAAGGCCACCAGGACACAACACTTAACCAGTATACAGTATACACACACCACACACGTCCCGCATGCATGTGTACGTAGTTTAATCTAGCATAATGGCTTGGGTATATAACAAATAAACTAAATCAAATAAACAATGGCGCCTAGGGCGCTGCATTCCAAAATATATGTAAATCGAACCCAAGTGCTAATATTAATGGGCGGTGTGGTCCAATTTTGTTAATAGATTTATTATTTACAGTTTGTATGAAGAATTTAAATTGGTACTTCTTGTTGCCATTATTTGTGATTTTCATTTTTAAAATTTACGAATTTTTAATTTGTTTTTTAATTTTGCTGATTTAGGGAATATATTCGGTATCTGCTTATAATATTTCTAGCATCTAAGACGCTTATAATAATTCAGGTTAAGCAATTTATACAATATTGTCTTTTAAAAAATTTTTATTTTAACAATACTTTATTCAACTTATGCTGTGGCTTGAATATAAATATACAAATGCGTTAGGCATAGACAATTTAAATAAAATAAAGACAATTTTTTTAAATTAAAAGCGTAAACATTAAACTTAAATATGAAAGCGATTAAGTTTTTCAAAAATAAACGATACCTCTCTATCGATAACAACACCCACCAGTCGGTCTATCGCCAGTTATCGACTTCTCGAAGCTCGGCGCTGCCATCACTAGAGGTCACTCTTGGAATTGGTTTTGTTTACCTTTCGCCCAGTTTAAACTTTTCGGTGGTTTTCGAGCGGTCAAGTGGCTGAGGAGACGCGGCGTGAATTGTGCGAAGGACCGAGTTCGAGGGACGCCAGTGGTTTTGCCGAAGGTACGTAGGCAGGGCCTGCCCTTCGCGTCCTGCCATCCGGGGTCCTCCAACTTGGGGGCTCCCGATTGCCGGACATGTGCGTAATTGATTTTTCGGTCAGCGCGGTCAAGCATTATTTATTTACTAAACTTACCATCCCCCTCTGACCATCAAAAATTACCCCTTTGTTTTCACATTTTTTTGTTGGTTTTATTGCAAATCTCAATAGAAAAACTTCCAGCGAAAAAAAAACAACACACGCACACTAGGACTTTTAACATTATTTTAGGGATTAACTGTAGGTACAGAGATCGAGATTACATATATATGCATATAGAGAGGGTCTATAGAACTATCAAATATTTAGATAATTTAGCTAATCATTTCCTTATCGTCGTTTGCGTAACAAAGATGGGAGGGGAGATTTAATTCGACTAAAATTTTGAACGAAAGTAGTGGGTTTTATCTGCCGTATCTGTTGGAGCACCTGGGGGCCCAACTACTTGGGTGCTCCGTTGGATAAAGTGCGGGATTTGCGCTTCTTCAGCTTGGTCTTCACCTTCCGCACCAGATTCACGGTGTCCAGCGAGATGCCAGTGGAGGTTTTGTTGGCCTGGACATTGCCATTGCTGCGCTGATACTGCATTTGCCCGGAGGAGGATCCCAGGGCGCCAATGCTGCTCTTGGCCTGCAATCCGGCCGCATTCCTCATCCGCCGGGAGCTGCCACCACCTGGCATATTGGCCGGCTGTTGAACGGCCGTGATCACCAGGCCGCCGGTCTTGAATTTGTTAGGTGCTCGTCCTCCGCCGCCGCCGCCGCCGTTGCCCTGCATGTGACCCATCACTCCGGCGGAGTGCATGCGAGCGGCCACGGATCCGGAACCGGCTCCACCCTGGCCCTTGAACATCATGCGCTGGTGCTGCTGTTGGTGCATGTACTGTTGCTGCTGCACCTGCTGCATTGCGGATCCTCCGGCACTGTTGCGAATCCGTGCAAATCGGGTCACCAGCTGCGTGGTCTCCGCGATCTTCATCATGCTGCTGGACTTGCGCTTCACCTTTCCGCCCGATTCGCCTGCCACCAGATTCTGGATGGCCTTGGCCTGACTCGTGCCTGCCGACTTCCTAACGAGGTGCATGGGCTTGAAGGCTTGCTGCTCCCGGTCACGGTCACGATCCCGATCCCTGGAGTGTAGCGTCTGCTGATGCGGATCCTCCACCTTCAGCAAGCGCTGCGCCTGCTGCGGTTGGGAGCGCTTGTGCTCCTCCTGTTGCTGCCACAGAAGAAGCTTCTGGGAACATGCACTGTCGGAGAAGAGGACTTTGGAATTTTGGATTGATAGATAAAGCCAAACACTTACTTGAACAGATCCACTTGCTCCAGTTTTCTGGGCTTGCGTGGTGCGCCCATAAAGGCGGGTGGGACGCCCATGGCGATGCCACCGGAGGCAGCTGTCGGTGGCTCCCTGCCACTAGAAGTGAACATGGTTCGGTTCTGGCCACCACCGCCACCTCCACCACCACCACCTCCTCCACCACCACCACCGCCTGCGCTTCGTATGGCCGTTGTTGTGTTGGCCATTTGGGATCCTGCTATCGAGTGACCCTTGTACCAGGCCAGTGGACGCCCATCTGCATCACCGTGCGCTCCTGTCCAGACTTTCTTCTTCAGTGAGAGCTTGAGCTGCAGGTCATCCGCCGTTTGCACATTACCCTGCCTCTGGGGAATGAAATTGCTCGGGACAGTCCTAAAACACCAAAAAACAAAACAATTTTCAATGGAAATTCAAAGTTATCATATGATGCTTAAATCTCGCGAAAGAAATACAAAATACACACCTTCTGGGTGGCGGCTTGGTCATCGCCTTCATCGCTGGTTTCGATTCGCCCATGTAGAAGTTGGCCGCCTTGCCCTGACCACCATTGCTCCCACTGGGTATGTCCTGCTGATCGAGGTTGTGCCAGGAGTAGGTGCGTCTGGCGGATGTCCCAGTACCGCCCGCCTGCCTTTGCATCATGCCAATGTGATGGCCACCCGTGTCCAGTTCGGGGGCAGTGCGAGGAGTCAGCTTGTAGACATCCAGTTTCTTGCCACCACCCGGAGTGCCGCTCTTCGAAGGCGTGGTCACGATCAGTTCTGGCGGCATGTGGGCCGCCTTCGGTTTCTGGACCACCGTATCGCCAATTTCCTCGATGTACCGTCTCTGCAGATCGCTCTGAAGCAGCGTGTGCCGAAGTGGAGCCACTGCCCCGTAACCATTTTGTCCGGTCGTCGGCGAGTGTTCCTCGTCGTCGGTGGAGAAGTGCAGATCCGAACCGGGATCCGTCGTGGGCAGGTCCAGGGTGGTGCGCACCACCTCGCCGCGCTTCTTTGGCGGCTTGTTCCTCACCTTGGTGCGTCGCGCCTGCGTGGACTGATTGGATTAGATGCGGGAGATTCGAGGCGAGATTGGAAATGATCAAGTTAGTGGTGCTTGGGTGCCAAGTGGTGCTGTGCTCCACAGTAAAGAAACTAACTACGGAAGTGGTAATTTCCATAGGTTTTTCATCTGTAAATATCATGCTTTTACCCCAAATATTTGAATACCTGTTGATAGGAAAAAGAAAATGGAATGTCATGGCATATACCTTCTTTCGGCGGTAGATGTAGATGCGCCGGTTGGCTAGCCACAGCCGGAAATTTCGATCTACGTGCAATTTCTGATTGACCACCGGCTTCCTTTTTTCCGTGGGCATAAACTTTTTCTTTTTGCCCGTTTTCTTGGCCCCGCCTCCGGTTGTCTTGACCTTTCGCGCGCTCTCTTTTCCGGTTCCTGTCCCTGTTCCGGTTCCTGATCCGATTGCTGATCCGATCCCGGTGCTGGCACTGGAGCAGTCCGGATCCCGTAGGGATTCCGATTGCGAGGAATCCATGCTATCAGTACTATCGGAACTCTGAGCTCCGGTCGGCTGGCCTCTCTTGACCGGTGGCTTTCTAGCCAACTGCCTTCCCGGATTCGACTGTTGGATTGAGCTGGTCTCTATGGTTGAAGCTCCGGTTTGGCTGGTGGCCAAGGAAGTAGCATCACCAATGGCGGTGCCACCACCTGCTACTCCTCCTCCTCCTCGCAGACGTTTCCCGGTCGGAGTCGTCTTGACGGCACCCATTTTGTGACGCCTCCGTTTCAGGGTGGTCAGTGTTTTGAATTTGCGCTGAAACAGCGGCGTAAAGTAGATCCTGTCCAGCTCGTGCATCACCTTGCGCATGCGTCGCATGCGGAACTGATTTTTGAAATAGGAAATAGGTCGTGATAGGGAATAGGGAGTGCAGGTGCAGTGCAGGAGTAGCTTAATCGATCCCCACTTACCTTTCGGATCTCGTGGATCACCTCCGGCGAACTGGGCGGTGCTCGGGTGGGGGCACAACAGGGTCCCTCCAGATCGGAAGCAGTTATTGAGTGCTTGCCCTCATTATCCGAACTGGAGCTGCAGTTGCCCTCGTCGCTAAAGGGGTTAGGATTAGTAGAGATTAGTATCAGTTAGTAGAAATAGAAGGGATTTGGAAGGCTTTTTCATCTAGTTTCTAAACCACTTAGTCACTCTCCTACTAATTCCAAAACACCCATCTAAGGATGAACCCACCTTGAGTAATCCGACAGAGGGATATTCAATGGCTCGTCGGCACTGGAGCCTTCTCGCATCAGTCTTTCGATAATTTTGGATCGTAGCCTGTCCTGTTGTTTGAGTAAATTTAAAATCTATTGTAAATGTTAATGCATTTGGATTAGTGAAAAATCATACACTGGCGAAAAGGAAAATTTAAATATATGTATAATATGAAAGTTGTAAATTAAAATCAATGTGAGTGTGCAGAATAATCAAGCAGTTCACTAGAAGCAGTTTGGTAAAAGCTAAAGTGAAAGCGAAAAAAACTTAAGACTAACCAAAAGACAACATAAATCATATGGTAGATATGGTATTTATTTCAAAAAATAATATTTTCCGGTTATAATAATACGGTTACGCTTACGAACTAGCAACATCAAAAGAAACGCGAATTATAGTTAGAGTGACTAGGATATAAGAATAAAGAGCTCGAATGCCTGGCGATGCTGTGCTGGGTGTGACTATCTCGTTACGTTTGTGCGGGATCAAGTGGAACAGGTGTATTATAAAGATAGGTATATAGATAATCCAAGAACCCATTGCGTGGATAGGATGTCCGCTTTTTGCGGCTCTATCCACGCAACTGGGTGCTCAAAAACATTAGAAAAACTGCGGTACGCGCAAATAGAGAGCATTCAAATTAGTTTAATTCAATGCCTCACATACAGAATCCCCGATTGGATACATATGCTGATGATATATGCCCAGATATACCCGATTC